TGCTCCTTGTGTGCTCCGGATGGCAGTCGTGAGTCAGTCAAGTGTCAAGTTCGGCAAGAAGCGTGTGTTCCTAGTTGGAACAATCGACTTCATGACTATTACTGCCGAAAGTCGAAACTTCTAAGTTCGTACTATCTTTTTTCTTCTTCTTTTATTTAAACAATCGACGAGGAGACAATAGTCGTAAAATGGCAATAAATAAGATTTCTTCATTTCTTGCTGTTGTTATGAGTGCACAATTTATCTTATTTATTGCCATTTTCTTTTATTGCTTGGTATAGCCCTGAGAGCATTTGGAGAGTGTCGTGAAGATATACAGATGTCCATGGGTAAGTCAAACAGTGGACAGGGAGCTTCTAGTGTTCAAAGATGCGAGCATATCGCCTTTCTGTCACCTTTTAGACTATTGATGCCCTACCTCCATGGTAATTTCAGTATTCTGTACACTGAATACTCCTTTGTACGGCGCTGGCAACTGAAATCCGACCCCTAAGCGATGCGTTCACATTCTAGCGGTCTCTATTTCGTAGTATTACTATCCCGTGTTGGGTCTTTGCGATGTGAGCGCACCGCTCAGGGGTCGGATTTCAGTTGCCAGCACCGTAGTATAATGATGTAACCGAAGGACGTACCCAGAGTGCTGACAGTGCTCAACACCACAAAGGCAGAGCGTAATACACAACAGAACAACAAGGACAATCAAGGCTTGTTTGCTGCTACTTTGAGTTTCATGCTCACGCAATCATCAGTAGCAGCAAACAAACCTTGATTGTCCTTGTTGTTCTGTTGTGTATAATGATGTAATGTACATACTGCACTGTTGTGCATAATGATGTACCGTATTTTACCGGTTGTAAGTCGACCCCGGTTATAGGTCGACCCCCGTATCCGGAGGTCTCAATTCTGCGTTTTAAAGTTTTCACCCAAAGAAGCACTACTAACCCCTCCCTGCTATTAACACATCAACAAATCATGTAAACATTCCTTGTTGGAGGTTATACCATCCCAATCCTTCAAAAGACCAATAAACTGGAAAAATGTGTACACATAGTGCACTCGTGCATGCAGTTCAGGTCATTTTTTGTAAGATTCTGATAGTTCCCGGTTATAAGTCGAATCCCGGTTGTAAGTCGACCCCCACCCTTTCTCCTTCCATTTTACGTCGTAAAAGGTCGACTTACAACCGGAAAAATACGGTAATGTACATACTGCACTGTTGTGTATAATGATGTAATGTACATACTGCACTGTTGTGTATAATGATGTTATGCTGTGTATAATGATGTAATGTACATACTGGTAGGTAAGAGACACATTGTAGCTATTTTGAAGAGGTACTACATTGTATGTCCCAAGACATGTGGGCCAGTAGAATGAGAATACTTCTTGACTTGTTCGACGTAGATTATAATGTGAGCTCGCACAGCATATCGGATTTATTCCCCCGGTCCTGGGGACAACCTCCCCCCCCCCCCCAGCCTCCGGTCGTGCCCTGTGCCGCCCTTGACTTGTTGGCTACATGTGAGCTAGGAGAGCACATTCTGAATCTCACCCGGAGTCACCGGCTCTCCAGTCACTCCCAATCATAGCCAGCCTATAGTGTAACAGTTCAGGCCGGCCAATGCGCCACTTTCCTTGCCCTGCCCTTACCACTTGGCTACTGTGCACGTTAGGCCTTTGCGGATAATGCCGGCAGAAAAATTGGCAGAATTGTACTTTTTCTGGTAAGTTTCATGCATGTTTGGTAAGTGGATAAAGAAATGGAGCAGAATTCGAGGAATTGCCTGCCATAAGGTTTGTATGGTTCTGCCAATTTCACTGCTTTTCGAGCAGAATCTGCCACCTTTTCGAGCATTATCCGCCAATGCCTAGTGCACGTTACATGTGCATCGTGTCCTGTTGTCACGTTTCTCTAGCTTTGGTGTTGTGTTGCACTCCCTTTTACATTCCTATCACGTGTAAGTATTCTCACTGGCCAAGATGAATGCTCTCTTTCCTTCAAGTTTTCAGCTGTGACAGTTACATACACCTCACAGTTCCATTCTGCAGAACTGATAGATCGATTGCAGTCACGTTCTTTTCATTTCCAGAAGAGAAGCAAACCTACACCTCACCCTGTAGAAGACGGCCAGTTGTTGTTTTGTGAGAAACTGGTTTGCTACACTGACTAGTCCGGGTTGAATGGAACGCTTTCTTACGTCCAAACAAAACTGTGTACGCAGCCGGCTGTCCGAAAACTACCACTACACACAGACTTGCACGCCAGGCTAGAGGTGGGTGAATCCTGCAAGCAAGAATTATGGGAACTGATGAAGTGGGCAGTGGGCGAGGGCAAGGGGCGGGGGAGGGGGGGGGTGAGAGGAGGGAGGGGAGGAGTTTGGGCGGAGGAGCAAGGGAGGGGGTGGGGGCAAAGGGACAATTCAGATCCATGCCATAATGGTTAGTCAGTCATGCAAGCAGATATACATGAAGTTGAGCGGTCAAGCTTACTTTGTATGTAGGTATAGGTTTTTAGATTAACTGCACGACTCAAATAGGGTGCTACGCTTGGCAACCGCAAGCTACACAGTCGGTAGTCCCGTTCGAAATTGTTATCTCGTAAACGTCTGCAGAGAGAAAAGTGAAAGAACGAGTCCATTGATTGCGCTTCAAGAGGACAAAAAAACTGATCACGGGCTGGAGCCGAGGGAGGAGCTACTTGGCGACAATACATCCAGGAACTTGCATCAGGACACTGGCTGAACAATGTGCATCTGAGATGGGGCGGCCACGTGGCTACTTCAAGTCATTATTTATTAGCTTAGGCTGTTCCGCATTGGCATCGCAACGCAAGCTTGGCTAGCCTTCGAAAAAGCTGCTCCATGATGCCGTGACGAAACAAGGAATGCGTGTTTACAGGAGAGCACTTTTTGTCTTGGGTTGAGGTACTTTTTGTCTTGGGTTGAGGAACACAAGCTGTTATCTGAGTTCTAACAAAATTGGGATGCGTTATGTTGGCTCTTGTGCCTGGATTTTCTTGACAGGTGCATTAAGAATAAAAAAGGGTTTATCGCTTGACAATCGCTCTATTTAGTTGCTATTCACTCTTTCGATGAAAATTCTTTTATTAACCCTTTGCCGGTCTAACTTAATGTATGTGAGGGGTGGTCACGCAAATACATGTACACACAACCTGCAATAACTCAAGAACCATGTGATGTAGGTATGGGTAAACCATATATTTTCAAAATCTGTATGCCTGAACGCGTCCAGAAAATTTAAATATGACTAGGTCCAGGCAAGGATAGGGCCCAGGGCCATGGTAGCATTTCAAGTTGAGAAAAAATACAATTGCGAATGAAATACACGAATATCACAGCACCAAGGGCATACCAAGTTCGTGATGGAGCTGAAGTCGTACGATAAACAATCAGGTAAGGGCTACGTCTTTACAAGAAATGTAGGCTCTCTACAATACCGCCATTGAACACCAACACCTCGCCATTGGTGATACGCCAGCAGCAGCAATTCCCTTTCCACGATATCACAGTTTCGGTTTGTTTATCTCAGCGCTGCTCGCGTCAGATTCACTCTCGCTCAGATGAGTACTCAGGCGCGAGCTTACGTGTGTCGTGATTCTCACGGCCAGGCAAATCAGCTGATCGCACCTGACGAGTCCTTGTGACAGTCCCTGTTGCCGTGTTGGCAGCAAGAAGGCTTCCTCTCTGTTTGGAGAATTTTGTTTCTTCATTCGTGGACGATATATTTTTGAACTAGCAGGACTCAACGGAGCTCTTTTTCTGGACACACTACACTGCAAAACCTTCCGGGCGATCCAGTCTGGACTGGTGATGTTACTGCCCTCAGAACGTTTGTCAAACACGGCCCCAAGAGATGCACTCGCATTCTCGAAATGCGCGCATGGCGGATGGTCGTCTTTTCCAATTTCAACAAACTTCAGTCGATCGATACGGCAAAATTAGTATGGCAAGCATGGTTGTTTTGTACATCGTCAGAAAGCCTTGGACCTCAGCTACGCGTAGAGCGCCAATTTAGCTGTCTCCTAGCAACAAGACCCAAAAAAATGAGGGCCAAACGTACGATACTATAGTATCGATTCGCTTATGGTAGACCGGTAAAGGCCGTAAAGGGTTAATGCAGTGAAAATTATTGACGTTTCGATGCATTAAGGTGGCTCATACCCAAATCGGAAAATACAAACGGCCGAAAGATTTTGTTCGAAATTGCACAGCTCTACCAGAATATTGCCTATCCCGTAAAATAGGAAGCATTGAAACACTTCTTCATAGTTAAAACCTTATTAGAAATTTCAGGGATACTAGAGCATTTTGCACAAAAACACATCCTAGCATTTTGCCTCTACTGTTGTATTGTTCAAACTAAATGTTGTAGTTTTCTTCGCAGGTACCGGAGTGGTGATTTCGGCAGTCAAGCAAAGTCAAATGGAGAAGCTGGGGTATCTTATGAGGGTTCTTGGCTGCCAATACTAATAATCTCATTTGGTTTGGAATGCAAATATCAGTATTCTGCAGTGTGCTCCACGAAATTGGCCTGATCGATTTTTCTTATTTCTTCAAGAATTACAGCCGCATATGTGGTTCATATGCTAAACATTAGATAATCCATGTTGAATCAATGTGAAGTAACTTGGAGGACGGTTTACTGAATCCACTACTGGCTGACATGCACGGTGGACCAAAACTAGAGCTGTAACAATAAAAACTATTACTCAGTTATTATTATTATTATTTGTGCTCCCGCGTCAATGGGCTCGCCCAAATTCGCTTGCACCGAACCATGCGAAAAAAGGCCGCCAGCAGGCAGGCAGGCAACGAAAAATAGAAAATGGTGTCACATAAACTAATACAAACAAGAATATCATTATTGATGACATTAATATACTGAATGAATGGCAAAGGCCATGTGAATACGGATAATACGGATAATCAGAGTACCAACAACAAAGAATGTAGCTCAAACCATTGCAGTGCCAACTTCCTTCACCAGTACTCTGCCTTGTACGCATCTGCAACTGCGTTGCACAGATATGTCCATTCACGGCGATCCAGTGCTCGCTGAGCCATCAGCTGCAAGTCCCTTGGAGTCCTCAGACGGCAGCCGACTCGCTCCGCGTCTTGATTCAGCAGGACCGGTAGCGTGATCCGCGGCCGCCCACGGTATCCCGGCACGGAGCAGCCAAAGAATCCACTCATGGCCTCCCTAGCCGGTGTGTGCTCATCTGATCGCAGAATGTGGCCAAACAACCGCCATCTTGCATTCACCAGAATGTTGCCAAGTGGAGCAGCACTGCAGCGCTCGTAAACCAAATCGTTCGACAGTCGGTTGGGCCACCTGATACCCAAGATATGCCGAAGTTGCCGCCGATGATACGATTCCAGCGCTTCAATTGTCTGTCGAGTGATGCCCCATGTGGAGCAGTTGTAAAGCAAGACAGGTAACACGAAGCAGTTATACAGCCGGACGCGCACCCCCAGACTCACTTGGTCTCTTCTCTTCCATAACTGGCAGAGGGACTTAAACGCTATCGCCGCAAGCTGCTTTCTGCGGGTGACATCCTCTGCATCACCAAGGAGAGAGCCGAGTTTCTTGACCATACGCCATGGCTCATCACTCAGTTATTATTACTCGTTAGAAAAGATATCGAACGAGTATCGGCTCATCACCTTGAAAAAAGTACATTTTTTTAATGTTGACGTACTTCTACCATGCATGCATTCATTGGGTCGCGTCAAAGTATGCCAGTATGCTGCGTGCACCGCATGAGCGCCGCACAAAATACCAGTAACAATGTCTCGCTCCCCCGACTTCGTATATCTGTTCTTCTCCGATCTCCCCTGTGCCTTGCCTAATCTCATTGGTTCTCCCTTGGCTAACCTATGCACTGTGTCTTCTATTTCAGATTTTAAAAATGCACTGTGTGCTGTGAAATAGGCTGACCACTGTCTTGCTGTAGTCAACTGGTATCTCTCTTTCTTTCTCTTTTTCTTTTTCTTCTTTGGCTGAGGCGACGAGAGAAGGCTTGGCATGATTGGCCACTGTTTTAAAAGTCCCCGAGAGGCAGTTTGTTTGCACTTGGTTGGCGGACGGCCACCCAGCGAGGATAGTTGGGTACCCTTCAAACCTTGGTTTTAACTTGCCACACAGGCTTCTAAAGGGCCGGGGGTGGGTGTTCGCCAACCAAGTCGAGCCTTCATTCATTTTTTTCTTCTTCTAGTCTACTTGCTTGTGCTGCGCCGCGCTGGAGCCAGTCTATCTGTACATGCTTTCGCCGCATAGAGCTACTGTTGCACAAAGCCACAACACTACGCGCTGCTATTCGCTGTATGCTTCCGCTGTACCTAGCTGCTGTTTAACTGCACAACGCCACAACACAACTTCACTACAACAGTCTCGTCCACAACTTCACTACAATAGTCTCGTCCATATTGCACTCCGCTGAGTATTGGCCTGTTCCCGCTCTGAAGAGCTTTTCAGCCTTCACCATTATCGCTCAAACCAAGGCATTGGCCCTCAAACCCAGGCATTGGCCCTCAAACCCAGGCATTGGCCCTCAAACCCAGGCATTGGCCTTCAAACCCAGGCATTGACCCTCAAACCCAGGCATTGGCCTTCAAACCCAGGCATTGGCCCTCAAACCCAGGCAGTGGCCCACAGTGGCAGTCGCTTCCTTTTTCTTTTCTTTTTTTCTTTTCCCCTTTTACTTTCTCCGTATATGCCTAAAAAACCCGTCGACACGTTTTTTTACACACCAGTCTATTTTGGTGCGAATTACTTTCCTTCTTCTTCTTCGTCTTTTTCTCACTGTGGTTGGTTTGTCAACTTCAATTCCTTGCACTGGACATGTTATGTGGCATGAAGTGATGAAATAGAATACAATCAACTTCGCTAATATTGACTGCGAATATAACGACAATTCGCGAATAGGGACACTTTTCTGATGCCTGGCCGAGGTTTCGTTATACAGAAAGTTGACTGTATTAATACTTCTTTTGAAGTATATTCATTATGAGAATATCATTCTGTACTTCGTGATTCAGCATTGCTCTATATCAAACAACATATTATCACCGGAAAGCTTATTTTATCCACTTTCCAACAGGCTACCATTTGCGAGTTGAGAACTCGGATGGAGAGCCAAGGATTAAAATTCAAAAAAAGGACCAAAAGTTTACAATTTATCCGTTTTGTCCAACACTAACGGTTATAAGCAGAATACGGTTGAGTCAAAAGTGTGCAACAATTAGCACAAACCTGACGGATGAGATCATTACGGCGAAACGTACGTCGTGTGACACTACTTGTTATTGCAGTTTATAGTCCATCACAAGTTCCATTCCACATGTACATGTAGTATAGTACAAAGAGATAGTGCCGTCCGGTCTGTCTTGCTTCGTTATCGCGTAACTTCCCCTCTTTTGCTTATCTCTGACAACATGAGCCTCCCAAGTTGGGTGTTCGTTGTTTCACGTTTCCGAAGTGAGCTGTGGCCGTCCTGTGCCGTGGTCCTTCGTCCTTCATCACCATCTTGGCATAGCTAACATTCTTAGTTCGCTGTGATGTTTAGCTTGTTTTCGTCTAGAGTGCGCGGGGGGGGGGGGGGGGTGTATATGCACTGTGCAAATGCATGCACTGTCAGGATGAGTATACTCATCGTAGGCAATACGGGGTACAGTTTTTGAACAATTTATCTCGTTCTCGCTCCTCCGGCACGGGTGAATTGATTCGCACTTTTAGATCTGCCCATCGATGCAGTCATTTATGCTTGGCACTGCCGCCATTCACAACTTTTATATTTGCGCTGTGCATGTGATGCAGGCATTAACACTTTGCTTTGTGGGTATATAAACAAATACCGATCCAGATTTACCCATTACTGTGTTCTGATGATTGCTTAGTGCGTGAAACTCAGAGAAACTCCAGTTCTCTGTCCTCTTATTGTTTGAATTAGAAAATTCTTTTTTTTTCTTTACTATTGAACACTGACTGCATGATGAACTAAAATGAGGAGAAGAACTCGACACAGTGGTACATATCCAGCAGGACACAGTGGTACATATCCAGCAGGACACAGTGGTACATATCCAGCAGGACACAGTGGTACATATCCAGCAGGACACAGTGGTACATATCCAGCAGGACACAGTGGTACATATCCAGCAGGACACAGTGGTACATATCCAGCAGGACACAGTGGTACATATCCAGCAGGACACAGTGGTACATATCCAGCAGGACACAGTGGTACATATCCAGCAGGACGCATGGACTTTTATACTTACAGTATCACCAAAGCGGAATTGTTAGCAAATATTCCCAAGGGCAGGCTTGAAAGTTTATTGTTTCTCAGGTAACTGTTGGGAGAAAGAAATCAGAACCAACGTGCACAGAGAATGCATCGCAGACGCAGCGGAGAACGTTCAGGTTGGTTGTAACTCAGTGTTGCACACCGCAAGTCAATCATCTTCATCATCAGACAACTGCTCTCCTGCAGCTTAGGAATCAACGGATTTGTGCCGAGAATCTGATGTCATTATAAGAGTTTAACTCAGATGGAGAGCCAAGGATCAATTTATAAGAAGAAAAGGACCAAAGAGCTACAAGTTACGCTATAACGTCCACTTACACCACCAGTTACTAAACAATCAGCCCGTGCGATAGCTCCATAAGGTCACACGCACACCGCGCTGCGCTGCCGTCACTCAGGTACTTAGAAAGTCGATGGCCTAAATTTCCGTCTCTTGGAAGACTGTCGACATGGCGATCACTCCACATGGCTTCCCCACCATAATAAGCACCACCAGATTCTTCCAGGTACACCATGACAACATCGTCTACAGCAGCTGGCGCTCCTCATATGTGCGTGAGAAATGACTTGGTGTGCGCTCCGCTCTGTAATTTCATATTGGCTTGCATCGGCAGCTGCAACGAAGTATTTATCTATCTGTCGTCGGTCCCAGAGCGAATGACTGCTAGGTCCTCGTCGGAAAAGTCATCTGAGGACGAAAGGAATTCACTGCGCAAGAGAAAATGTACCCGACAATGTTTTGACGGAGGCAGGCGGAATTGTCGGCGCGCGTGTATTTCCGTAAGTTTTCGATCGCGCAGTTCTCAATGATATCAAATAGGACACGCGTTGGTCTCTTCAGCTACCGATAGGATCATACCTAGGCTGTGTGAGGGCCACGGGAAATCCCCGTGGGCTGATGCTTCCCGTCATGCCAGGCATGGTTTTGTATGCATGTTGAATGCATGGTCAACGTTGACGCATTCAAGTATGGGGCTGCCGGTAAAGGGTTAGTGATTCCAGAAGGTTTTCTCCTGAAATCTGGAATCATTGTTGCTGTGGTTTTGATATGGCGATGTGTGCACCCACAACAACAACTTTGTCGCCAACAGCAGGAGTGGCAGCGGAGGAACCTGACACGTTGGGCAGTGCAGCCTCTGGGACTGTCGCGTTGTGTGGCCTTTCGTTTCTCTCACCTCGTCAACACGTCACTATGGGACCGCTACTTCAACCCATCATTATGCATGCATGTGCTGCAACGTTAGTGCGAACTTCTAATAGATTGTCCGATTCACTCGCTTGTCTAAATTCTAGCGCCACCTGTATGCATGTTCCGGCAGCCCTGTGCGTTTCGTTATCACCTTTGACTTTTGTCACCTTCATCTTCTTAGGGTATGCCATTTTCCATTTAGAAAGTGCGCAATTGCGCCACACTACCCTATACACAATATGTTCATTCCTTTATCACCTATTCATTCCTTATCTACCTCCACTGAGGAGCGCTTAATGAGCTAAACAGCTGCTGTCTGGAGAGTATTCAACATCTACCCAAGAACGAACTTCCTCGCTATGGAGTGGTGTGCTGTGAATGTGCGCCAAGACCGCAGTGTGGAGAGGTGGACGGTTAAGATGATTATGATATGAGTGCACATAATAGTTTCATTGCTTTGTTTGATTGTAGTATTGCACTACATTAACTTATTTCAGCGGTCTAAGTAACTGTGTGAAGAAGAGGTTGGTGTGACTTCGGGGGTAGTAGAAAAGAAGAGAAGAGTGTGTTGCTCCTTACATGGGAGCTTGCGGTTTTCAAGTGAGACCAGTGAGAATTCAAGTCGGCAGGAAAACCGCGAGCTGCCATGTCGGGAGTAACATACTCTTCCCCTACGTAACTTTGTTCAGACCTTTCATCATGCATTGGAGGAGAAAACTCCTCTTTCGCTATGAGCACTGTCTTGAAATTACCGTTGGCGGGATTGTTCACACCCACATGCTAACATAAGGACATTTGGTTGACATACTTACATCGCACTGAGTAAATGATTGCTGGCAAAAATTTCTGCCGGCAGACTTGAAATTTTGTTTCCAGTCAGCATTCTGCAACAAGAGAACATGTAGAGTTGCTGAAAATGCTCTGAACACTTATGAAGCTGCGTGATGCGTCCTACAAGATTTTCAATTTGTATTTTTGTATTTTATTATATTTAAGGATTTCCCAAAGGCTTTGGGCCTGTCCAGGGGATCTCCTGCAAGAAGAGTGAAGTGACAACTTTATGTAAAGGGAGCAGTTAATCGAGGATAGGCTAAGGAAATAGATCGAGGCATACAAAATCTGGTAATTAAGGAGTTGGGATACCGTCAGTGTAATGAATATATCGGGGAAAATGCTGATAGAGAGAATTCTTGAATTCGGGGAGGCTGGTTATAGAGGTAAGAGAAGGCGGTAGGCAATAGGGCTTGAAAGTGCTACGTCACAGCATAGCAACAATTTCAAAAATTCAAAAATTGGATCCACTTGGATCCAGTTTTTGTATGGATCCAAGCACATTTCAAGCCGTCTTACTCTCAGCAAGGTGATGTTACCAGTGAAACTGACTGATTTGGCTACTGGGGGAGGGGTTACAACTGGTGGCGAAGTAAAAGTCACCCCTGCATACGACATGAGTGGGTTGCTATGCACCCACATACTGAGGCAATAGCAAAGTCACACCTTAGTGGATCCAAAATAGAAATCTGATGTCAACTTAGTACTCCCTGGCCGTTTTTGACGTCATCACTTTCAAGCCCTATTCCATAGCATTGCAGCTTTGTTGGAAAGAGGGAAGAAAAAAACCCGCACACCGTGATAATTGATGTTAAGTTTGTTTGGTCTTCTTGGACTTGAAAACAGTATTATTATTATTATTATACGCATTCCCGCGGCAGCGTCAACCAAGCAGTTATGCTTGATCCACACGTTCGCTTATGCTGGACATTGAAACAAAGCAGATGTAGACAGCTCCTAGAGAATGGGGCTCTACAAAACCAATGATCGAAGTTAGTCCTTCAGTAACATGGAGCGTCATAAAATTGGTCTCATTGGAAAAATGTCATCACTATTGTCTCCTCATGTAGCATCATGGTCAATGGGTGTCCAGATAATTATACGTATGAGGTTGAGTTGCCAGATAATTATTAAAAGATTCAAATAGTAATATTATTATAGAATGGTTGTTATGAGTTTTTAAGGGTGCCATGGCTGTTTCTACTCGTGACGAGGGTGTGCACAAACGCTCTTCACCAGCGCGTTCCATGCTGGACGGTCCACAGCAATCCGCTCCAGACGGCGCAAGTCCTCAACACTCCGCAGGTGCCCATTGTTCGACTGGGACAGATCGGTGTGGAGCTTTATTGGTAGTGTCACCCTCGGCCTCCCACGGTACCTCCCCTCGGTTGCCTGAAAGTATTGCTCCATGCTCAATCGTGCTGGCGTGTCCTTACCCAGGCGAAGCACATGCCCGAATAGACTCCAGCGTGAATTTCGGATCAAGTCCGACACCGGCTCCACTCCACATCGGGCATACAACGCCAAATTACTAATCTTTTGTGGCCATGTGATGCCGAGAAGTGACCTGAGTTGCCTTCTATGGAAAGCGTCCAGGGAGCGTTCGCTAGCAACCGTCAGGCTCCAGGTGCCTGAATTATAGAGAAGTATCGGCATGATAAAGGCGCAGTACAACCTCATACGCAGCGGCTCTCGGATCAGTCCTCGGCGCTTCCAAAGAGACCACATGGATCGGAAGGCAGCCTCGGCCAATTGCCTGCGACGTGTCACATCCTCAAGGTCGCCCAGGAGTGAGCCCAGCTTTCGGGATGTCCTCCAGCGCTCGTCAATTCTGTCTACAGATCGACCCAGCTCCCTCCACTCAGTTTTGGTGTTGTTGACTCTCAGGGCCCACTGCCCGAGAGTGTGGTCTATGACCGGTTCGAGCTCTGTGAGCCATTGACGACTAAGGCTTATGAAATCAGTGTCATCTGCGTAGACAAGCTCAAATGGAATGTTGATGCTTTGATCCATTGGCGGTCTGTTTCGTGCCACCTGGGTGCTCCTCAGATCTCTCAGTGCTGCCTCTAAGTATATAACAAACAACACCGGGGAGAGAGAATCACCCTGCGGGGTGCCAATTGTAGTTTCAAGGGACTCTGATACTGCCCTGCCGATGCGTACCAGAGTTGTGTTGGTCAACAGCACTCTAACCAGCCGAACATCATCCTCCGTCAGGAAAGACTCGAGAACTGTCAACAGTTTGTCACGATGTATACAGTCGAATGCTTTGGACATGTCGATTCCAAGAATGGTCATTTCCCGCCGATAATGCTGACATGTTGCTGCAAACCATCTGTGGCTCCAAACAAGGTCCGCTGTAGATCGGCCTGCTCTGAAACCACTCTGCGTCGGAGACAAGTACTCACCGACTTTCGACGATATTCTTCGCAATGTAATAATGGAGAGCGTTTTGCGTAATGATGTAAGGAGGACAATAGGGCGCAGATTTCCAGGTGGTCCAACCGTCTTTCCTGGTTTCTGCAACGGTACCAGTGTGCCACATCCCAGGTCAAGGTGCTGGTGAGTTGTAAACATGCTGTTGAACAGACAGGCAATGTGAGGTGCTAGGTTTTCTCTTCCATATTTCAAGAGTTCGCCTGGGACTCCATCTGGGCCAGGGGACCTTCCATTATTCAGTTTTTTCAGTGCGTTGGAGACCTCAGCAGATGAGATTTGTCTTTGGAGGCTTCTTGGGCGACCGGTGAATGGCTCGACGCCTCACGGTGACTTCATGTGCACCATCTAATGACATGGCGTCCTTTCATGCGATTTACCGCACGGATTTATGAAGTCAGACATATTCTGATTTATTTGCATCAATCGCACAAAATTAGGTACATTTCTCTTGTAAACCCTGTCAGTTTGAGAATTTAGACAAACACCGAACAAATTTTAGCCGCGACGAGGATCGGGAGGAATCCATCATTATTATTTACATAGCTACTACCATCACGTCGATCGAGTGAAGATCGAAATGATAATGGAGTGGAGAGAAGAAGACCTGAACTAGAGTGCTTGAGAGACTATGTAGTGTCACATGAGAATTGCTTCGTTAGGAAGGCTCTACTTTTGAATGGAGAAGCCCAACGTTGCTGATTTGCATCGCCGTTTTCAAGCGCTGATCTGCAGTCGGAATGTTTTTGTAAATTATTCGTAGTTGTGGACGTGGATGGATTCAGCGCTCTGTTCTCTCAGCAAGCCTACTCAGTCCAACACGAAGGACTTCCATGAGCGAAACAACGTGCTCCTCGAGCAAGTGCAGCTCGGGGTAATATGGCCAATGCCACGGGAGACCACCTCGTGCCTGCATAAGGCCAAGAATTGATGGCAAGACATCTTTGATGAGCGCCTTCGACTTCAAGGACGCAATATATCTCCTCAGCAGTAACTGCAGCGCTCTTGCTGAAAATATCACTGCAAGCATGCACTAGGCATGATTTAGTGAAGAGCTACTTGTACTAGCGATTGGAGATTTGGTGTTGGCTTCCAGGGCTGGGCATATCTGCTCCATCATGGTAACTGGTGCGTTTGTCAAGGCAGTGCAGTTTCTGCTGCTGTTTCACAAGCCATATGCGCATATGCGCAGTGAGTAGGAATTTGTTGTATGATAGCTGAGGATCACCAGCCTTCATGGACAAACCTATATTGGGACTGGTTGCTGAACAGTGCACACCTAAATCTCTCAGCAAGCTCTTTTGCTCAGCTGGTGACGAACACTATATACCCGCTGCTTTGGGCTTGCAGCCCCGTCTCCCGACCGTAGACCGATCGAAAGGCTGTCACGGTCCTGTGACCATCGGCGTACAGTTGACGCTGATGGGGCATCGGATAAAGTGCTGGCGTCAGTAATTGTCTGGTATACCTGGAATCTACATCTACAGCTGGTTTTGACTTCCAGCCATCCTTCGTTAGTTATGCTTGTGACTATCATGCCAGCAAGTCGATCAGCAGCATCACCTCGCATCTTTGATGGTGAGGCCTGCAAAACGTCACCGACCAGTGACGATGCTCAAAAGGGCACCCTACCAGAGCTGGCGCAGTGTATGGTGCAGTCTTTCATGAATCCATGAACTATGCTGTTTGGCTGCTGTAGCTCTGACGCTTGCGTGTGTGCCTTGCATTAAGGGCAGCGGGCCGTCTGCTCTAGCCATTTGCCAATGCATGCACGGCTGAACGTCTACCAGCAAGCTGCAAACACTTCTCTCCCTACCACACTGTGACATAGTGGACATTGTGCGTGTGTTGTTGCATTCCTATCTGAACTGAACTGTTCTGGATGCAGAGATTTACCCACTAAGCCCTAGAGAAATATGAATAAATACTATACTACTACTATTACTAAACTTGGTATGCGGGTGTGACGTGCTGCTGCTCATCAGATTCGGTCCATGCGACGCTCGTGTTTTTAGTTTTGTTATTTTGTCTTCCTTTTTTGAATTCGTAAACCGAACAGACTAAACTATCCAGTGATCAGGTACTGGTGTGGTGGGGCGAGGTTTTGTTGGTGATGCTGCTGTCAGTGGTGGCGGCGTGCATGTGCTCGTGCTTGCCATCGCCCGCGTTTTCTCCCATGCCGCAAGTTTGTCTTGCGTTTGTGTTCTGCATTTGGACTTCCTGCCAGGCTTGGGCTTGCATTTCAAACAGTTTGTCCCACTGTGTGGCTCCCAGTCTTTGAGCGGTGTACATCCACCTCTAGAGCTCCAGAAAATGTTGGGCCCCTGGCAGTAACAGTGCATTCCATGGCCAATTTTCAAGTGTGGCAAAAATGTTCAGGGTGTATTTGGTTTCATCCACATTGAGATGAAACACTGCCAAAATGGATTCAGTATGATCTGCCACACGATACTTCGTCTGTCCACTCCTTGACGCGAATTTCTCCCCTCCAATACGACAACACGACGACAGGAAGCTAACATGAGCCTCCATTTCTGAACAAAATTACGTCTCTAACATGGCCACGAAAAGCTACAGTTATGCACGTCAAGCTTAGGACTACACGAAATCGAAAGGCTAGGACATCGAGGTATACTAGAAAATTGTCTGCGATGCGGAGAAAATTCGCTGACGAGGTTGGCGAGCCCTTGAAATCGAGCGACGATCCAAAAATAATTGCACCCACGTCGAGAAAGAAACCATGCGTAGCGCGTGGGTAACCCAAGAAGATCGCTCGAGCGGCGGCACAGTCGAAGGCAAGGCCAGTCCAAGCTCTAAACTCTATCGAATGACCTGGCAAACACCCGTGGTTTCGGTTGACCTTGCCCGTTTGAGATGGAAGTCGAGCGAAATTGCAGACATACGACTAGGCCAGATCGCGTAAAAAATGAAAAAGATTAAAATTTGGCCGCCATATTTAATGAACGCGCATCGCATGCATGGGACAGCCGTGGCCTGCATCCACATTCCCACGAAACTGGTCATGGAAGTGGCTCCGGACCGCAGATGCCGCCTCCTGGTCATCGGCTATGAAGCGACCCTTCTGGTCATGTACAATGGGCTTTCGGCTTGGCTTTCTGGTCATCAGCTGGACTGCTTTGAACATCCGTGCTCCATTCTTCAACCTCTCGACTTCCGCTGCTCTCTCTTGCATAATTTTCTCTGCATTGTCTCGGCATTTTGTTCTTATAGCGTGAGGGATTCTGTTTCGTTTCGTCTTGAGAGATGCTTTGGTGTCAGGGTTGTTAGTGCTACCAATGCTGATCCGCAGTGATCTCTGTTCCAGGGACAGCAGCTCAATTTCATGATCTGGTGCTTTGCGACGAGTTTTCTGCTGGACTGTGCCAAGGACATCACCTGCTGCACTCCTGACCACTTCCATAAGCCTCCGGGATCTTTCCTGCAGGCCGGTATTGCCATGGACCTGATCGGCAGCTAGCAGCTCACTGGCCAACTTCTCAGCATATTCCTCTTGGACTTGTCCTTCGGCTAGTTTGAATGTGTTGAACTTAGGCGCCTGCAGATCATCTTTCTTCCTCTGTCCAAATATTCCATATAGCCTCTGGAGGTCCAACCGCGCAACAACGAGCCTGTGGTCAGACGAGAGGGTGCATCCACCATAGCTACGACTGTCAAGGAGAAGCCGCCTCTGGGTAGATTTACACAGCACGTAATCTATTTGGTTATACACAGGAACAGTAGCTCCACTGGCTCCATCCCTGCGATGTCCTGTCCAAGTAGTCACATGCCGTGCATTATGCTGAAAGGCAGTGTTACAGATGAACAAGTCACTAGCATGGCAAAAGTCTATCAGGCTTTGGCCACTCAGGTTCCTTTTCCCTCTACCATGCCTCCCACAACATGTTTCTCTTGCATCCGACTTTTTCCCAACCTTAGCATTGAAGTCAAAGACTTGAAGACTTGAAAACAGTGAAAGGTGAACATGTTGGTGGTGTTCTGGAGTATAAGTTTAAATAGAGTAAAAAGAGCTGATACTTATCTGCGAAAGTGCAAGGACTCTAAGTCACAAAGGGCATTTAACTGGAATTTCGTTTCGCATCTATCTACAGTGACTTTTTTTACGTAGCAAATACTTCCTAGCTACTCTGGCTTGTAAAATAATTAAACGCTCCAGCTCAGCTTTGGTGATGGCATAGGACCACGCCGAGGTGGCATGTTCCAGGGCGGGTCGGACAAAATCTTTATATAGCAGTAGAAAGGCTGTGGGGGCAAGATGCCGTCCCATGAAGCATAGCAGATTAACACGACGGAAGGTTTTCAGGATGGTCTGAAGGTGGACGGTGTTGGACTGGTCGGGTGTTAAATACACTCCAAGATGCTTCGCAGTTTCAACGATGGTGATAGGTTGGGAAGAGAGCTGGATAGGGTGGTCGTTACTGTAGTTACTCATCTGGGTCGTTGTGGCTGGTGAGAACTTTCCACCAACGTTGCTGGCCCATAGTTGGCATGCAGAAAGGTCGCTCTCTAGATGAAATTGGTTCTGCTGCAGGGAATTCTTGTTATCGTGTACATACAGGAGGGTGACATCGTCAGGAAATAAGTATGGGGTGCAGTAGGTGATTGATGAGGGCAGGGAATTAACAAATAATAAGAAGAGGGTTGGAGCAAGATGCGATCCCTGCGGGACTCCACAGGTGTGGACCTTGGCCTCGGAATACTGTCCCATTTGAGCCCAAAGGTAGCATATCCACAGATACACTTGATAGGAATTACTGTAAACATCCTTATGTTTGCGACGTGTTAATGTTTAATGTTTGCTAATCTTGCAAGAAGAGCGTAACGCATATTTTAACCACCGTGAAATCAAACTGCAACAGTGGATGTATATGTGTGACCACAGAGCTCCGCGAACATTTGCTATCGTACACTTGCTAGTTCTGAGAAAACGCAATACCTAGGAAAGTAAGTAAATTATCGTATCCGTTCCCGAAGAGAACTCACGACAGCCTCTAACACCCGGTAAACCCTAGCGGCAGATGCAGCGCCTAACGGTGGGGGTGAGTGGGTAAGTCTCACAACCACGGGCAAAAGTGCCGAAAACGACCCCATTAGCTGCATCCATGTACCCTTGTGCCTGGCCA